CTAAGCCATAACAAGGCTTTGTTTGGGCTTCTCTATAAACTTTGAACTCAATGCTAATTCAGACATTTTAAATTGAGAACGTTTCCTGAATGGGAAGCGACACATTTTCAAATTTGGAAACAAAGTCTTGGTCCAATCGGACAAAAAAAGCTTCTAAATAAGCTGTAAACATTTCCCGACTTTTTTTTACAGTACACTGATTTTCTTCTAATGCTTATTGATTCATTAAATGTGAAAAACAGAAATAAAGGTTAAAAGAAACATTTAATTTAATTTAAGATTATTTCTCATCTTCTATAGTTGATAATCCCCTTTTCAGAAATCACTGTTTGATTTAGCAGAACAGGAATCACCTATCAGGGTCACATCTTCAGCAGGTTGGGTCCTGTTTTTCTTTTTTTTTTACGATCATCATGTAAAAACGTCCTTTTAAGATAATGATAAGGCTTTGAAGGACAGTGACCATTTAAAGTCCTTTTCCTGTGACCTAACTGATGTCCCTCTGGTCTCAGTAAGGACAGTTTCTATAGCAACCAGGTCAGGATGCTCTGGATCTGTCTTGGGTCCTTTTTCCTTTTTTCTTTGAGTATCTCTTCTTGCTTCGATGAAATTGTACTGAGAGCCAACAAGACGTTCAGAGGTCATCAGTTCAGATGTTTTGGTCACGGACATCTTCTAATGCTGCTGTCTTACAGGAAGATCAGGTGTCCTCTGACATGAAGGAGTGGCTCTTTATGTGTCACCAAACCCAGAGCTGTAAGACTGACGTTAGAACAAGTAACAGACCAACAGAAGGTCCAACAGATCCAACCCGGTTCCTGAAAGCATCGCCCCAGGTCCTGCTGATGACATCTAAAGAGAAGAATCAGATGTTAATCTGGAGACATCAACAGAGTCTCATCATCTTAGAGAAACACCAACATCTGATCTGAGATTATTCATTCCAGCATCAGTCAAGAAGCTCCTGGAAGTTCGGATCCAAAAAGACTCACCTGGATGAAGAGGAGGAGCTACATCCAGGGTGATGATGCTGATGGGCTCAGACTCCAGGTTAGCTCTCTTCCTGATTTTATTTACTGCCTGGAAAACTCGACACTCATACGTTCCTCTGTCATCACTCCTCACGTTGGTCAGAATCAAAGATATGTCTCCATCCTTCATCTGACGGTCCTTTAGGTCCACCCTGTCCCTGAAAGATGGATGCTGGTAGGAGGGGACTGTCTGCTCGTCTCTGAACAGAAACACGTATTCTGGGTCCAGATCAGTTCTGGTCCACTCTACAGCGAGGACGGCTCTGCCGTAAGGAGCTCTGCATGGCAGAAGAATGTTCTGCCCAGGTTCTACTGAGAGGAGCTTCTGATCTGCAGAGAAAACCACACCAATAAGAACTGGTAGAGAACATCAGAGTTACACGGTTCTTGAATAAAACATCCAAAGATCAAAAACTGGATATCAAAGGTATAGTGGAGAATTCTCTTTTTCCAGGTGGATCATCAAAATAAGTGTTCCTTCTAATTGTCAGTCATCCTGGTTATAAGGCCGCCCTACGTATTTGTCCCCTTTTTCACTTAACGGTGGAGAGTCTAGCATAGTGGAAAAACTGCAAATCTTCTTATGGAAAGTAAGCCCTTTAGCCATTAGCTGAACCAGAAGCTGGCATCAG